GTCAGTTATTTCCTTTTCTTTCGTTTAAAATGCAAAATCACAGCTCTAGCTGATTACACTTAGCTTATGAATAACAAATTACTGTTTTATGTATATATCACGAGCAGGATTTTCCCTCAATATTGAGAGTTTGTTAATTTGCAGTTAACTTCGATACTTTTGTTGACTCATGTTCTATAATTTAATCAGTGTTTGAGATTTAAAAGGCTGCGATAATAGGTGATTTTTTTAGGCATAAGCTGTGCCACAAGGGTTGCCTCAAATTATTGGAAGCATTTATTGTTGATCGTCTGAATGGCAATCGTATGTTTGCACTGAACTTGGAACCTAAAGGACAACTAATTGTACGAATTGCTTTCAACGGGATGGCTACTGTTTTCAAACGCACTGTGAACACTCGGTTCGTAAAAAATTTTATAACTAGAAAAAATTTGAGAAAAACAGTAAAATGATTACAAAGGATGATTTAAAACTTTTCTTTATCTATCAAAATTAACAGCACTTTTGTACAGATTCAATGGCGTTTTTGGTGTGCCCTTACAAAGGCTAATAACGAGGGATAATCGAGAAACTCCAATTATTCTGTCTCGACTTCTGCAAGAGATCGAAGACAGAGGAACCGACTATTCTGGGCTTTACATTCGTAAATTTCATTGATATCTTTATTTATTAGTGATATAATCTATGGACTCTCAAAGAAATTTTTCAGCAGAACTTTTTGTTTTCAGTTTCTGGTTCTGAGGAGAAAAAACGAGTTTTGCGAAGTGAATTGGAGAATAATGTGGAAGCTGCTGATCTGAGCGTTGACGTAGTTCCAGACACCAATGTGCTGGCGTGTTTAGTAAAAGATTTTCTTCGTGAGCTACCAGAGCCGTTGATTCCAATATCTATATACAGCATGCTTGTTGATGCTTTTTCCGTTACATTGCCTAACGATCCACAGGGCAATCAGCAACTTCTTCTTCGGATTATCGACTGTCTCCCAACACCAAACAAGGTTGATTCTTAGAATTAGGGCGAAAAAGCTATAAACAAATTAGACTTAGCTAGTCTGTAGATAACGCACAAGAAATCTTGAATTTTAATATTTAATATTTTCACTGTTATGTTTTTAGGTAGATAGTCAAAAGCAGTGAGACTTGTTTTTTTTTTTTTTT